TAATGGGGAACCCAAAGCAATCTATGGTGATTAGCTGTTGTGACAAAGCAGAAAAATTGTTCCAAGCAGTTGTTCTTCCGAAACAAACTGATGTGCGATAGCAGCCTTAGCGATCCTACTCTAGGCAGACCTCATGTTCACTGCTCGATTTTAGACAAGATTTCAAGGTAAAAATTTAAGGTTCAGAGTAACCTATAAATCCTTTTTCATTCAATTTTTCTGTGCATACAGAAGAAAATTTTTAGGTATGCCCAGACCTAGCACATCGTGCTTCAAAGGGTTAATCCTGCAGCTATACGAAGAGTATAAAAATTTTGTTTTTAATTTTTAGCCTCTTAGGTTTCTTTTTGTATTTATGTACATATGCATACGTGTGTATACTCACACATATGTATGCACATACACACACACATACAGACAGACATCACAAAATCCCTTTGAATAAAGTCCTTCATTTTGTCTGTACATACAGACATCATGTAAAATATTAGTCAAAATGGATATTTCTGCTGAAATATGATAACCGAAATTTTTCGGGACTATAATACTTCCTTTACTTTGTACAAGAAAGTAAAAATGATAGTTAAATTTTTCAATTTCAAAAGTGCAAAACACAGACATACATAGGTTGCCAAATAACTATCTTGGAGACACGCTGCATTCCCTTATTTTTGCGACTTCTCATTGGGAATGTAGATAATCAGAAAGTATTAAAAATTTTAGACAGAATAGAATGGTTGATCTTTACATTATGGTAACTTGGCGATTTTTTGGCGAAAATTTGGCAACCAACTCTCCTACAGCAACCCTCTATTTTTTTTCCCCCGCCGTCATTTTTGTCTTCGCGCAAGTAAAGACATGTTTCTTTTCTTTTTATCTACTGAACACTTCTTCCAACAATCTACTAGCCCGAATTACACTTATGCTAGAAATTTTTATCAAACAAAACTGCTTAATCATGACAAATATTCACTGCAAAATTGGGAAAAAGTGCACAATACCATACTACTTTACGCGTTTTTCAAAATAACACATACACATAAACCATGTACACGCCGACTTATTTTTACTTAAAAAAACATCCCAGAATTGCACAAAAATGGCATTGCGCACACTCTTCACTATATCCATGTACACTGCTTTTTTCTCATAAATTAGAAAAATTTCACAAAAATACATGACAATTTTCTCAATCTTTAAAACCCGGTAAAAAGAACATATATGAAATTACCTGATCGCGAAAAAGTATTTACCCTTTCCAAATATGAACATTTCCACATATAAATAAATAAGATATCCAAAAACTTTTAACCTCTAAATCATCTATTACATTATACACGTCACCAACGAATTCATACCGCAAGCATTACAAATACTTAGTATCAAATATTTAAATTATTTCCATGCACGTTTACTTCAACTTAAACGTATACCAAATTCCTACAAACATAAAATTCACAAAATAACTATCATTTAATTAAAATATCACTAAACCATTGTACACGTCGACTTATTTTTACTTAAAAAAACATCCCAGAATTGCACAAAAATGACATTGCGCCACACTCTTCACTATATCCATGTACACTGCTTTTTTTTCTCATAAATTAGAAAAAATTTCACGAAAATACATGACAATTTTTCTCAATCTTTAAACCCGGTAAAAAGAACATATATGAAATTCCCTGATCGCGAAAAAGTATTACCCTTTCCAAATATGAACATTTCCACATATAAAAAATAAAATATCCAAAAACCTTTTACCTCTAAATCATCTATTATATTATAAACGTCACCAACGAATTCATACCGCAACCATTACAAATACTTAGTGTCAGATATTTAAATTATTTCCATGCACGTTTACTTCAACTAAAACGTATACCCAATTCCTACAAACATAAAATTCACAAAATAACTATCATTTCATTTAAATATAATTAAATTCAAAAACACTACTTAAAATATAAATGAGCACATACATTAAATTAATAAAATTACCTTACATCCTAATTACTTTAAACTAAATCATTGCTAATAACAATTTTCCCAATAATACCAAATTCCTTTCCACCTTACATTTAGAACAATGCATAAAAATAATATCCTCAAATAATTAAAAATACTAATTTGCCTAATCTTCTTCAGAATCTTGATTACGTGTCCGATAAACTTTTCTTCTTTCTGTTTCAGGATCTTTAAAATCATACTTATATTTCACAGCAAGGTACCCTTTTCAATACCACTAAATACCCATTTCGAATTCACTTTAGTTACGGCCATGGAATCCAAAAATTAACCAACACTGTTTCATACAACACAGAATAAAGCCAAATACAAAATTTCCCGATTTCCCCCCTTTTCCGATTAAAGAATCGTAATTCGTCCATTAATATCACATGACATATCCCATGATCTCTCATTTCCCTCACACAAAATAATGCATAATCGGAACTGAGTACTGCTCACATTATTACCAAAGTCCCAGGTAGTAACCTTTATCGCCTCCAAAATGTCGCCAAACTACCAGTTACCATATTGTAAAGATCAACCAATAGAATGTTTTTAAGTATAGCATATAAATGAGAGAACCTAAGCATCATGCAGTACTTACATATTAGCACAGCCACTTATGTTAGCAAATTTTCATAAAGTGCCAGACTCTTAACAACCATGCACAAGCATTTCTTCAGGGGTAAAGTGCAGAATCGCCCACTCATACGGCGCATATCGATGCGTACATGGACAAAATCAAGGGAGTGCGCAACGCGAAGTTGCTGCAATTCTCCGATTTTTTTTAAGTGAAAATAGGTCGATGTGTACATGGATACTGAATTTGTGCAATTCTTTGAATTGTTACTTTTAAGTTCGCGATTATGCGAAACATGCAAAGCAGTGGGTGATTCTGCACTATCCCCTTCTTCAGTTTCAACAAAGTCTCTTCTATTCAATTTTTGTTTATGGAGTGTACATTCTAAGTTCCAACAGTTTTTATAGATAGAGCATCATATTTTTTGTCTTAAACACAGTTTTATATTATAAGCTTGTTTTTTTATAGCAGTGCAAAAAAAAAAAAAAAAAAAAAAAAATATGGTATAATATTTGCAGGAACACAATATTTTGTAGCAAAATTGATATAAGGAACAACTCCTTTGAATCTATTCTTAAAGTGACATGAAGTTGTCACCTGGTCATAAGAAGCAAACATTCGCTAGTAAGGCTATTGATTGATTTTTGTAAAAAATACCTAATTAATACATAAAATATTGGGTAGAGTAGACTTTAAGGTACCCCTTGTATTATGGCAAAGTTGTTGTTTGATTTATCGCCAAGTTGTTTTTTCATTTATGGTAGCCTGAGTAGTTGAAAGCTATGGAAACCCTATTGTGACGTAATCGGGTGCATGATTCTGGGAAATTTTGAATCATGGGATGTTTTGTAAGCGTTTTTGTGGTGTGTGTTGGTTTGATTCTTTAGACGGTAGAATGGCCGAATGTAGTAAGATTAATTTGAAGTTTCTGTACGATTTGGAGCGAAAGGGCAAAAAAGAGTTTTAATTGACTGGTGTGTAAATGAAGGTTTACTCAGTAGCCATTATAAGTGTTCTGTATGTAGGAAGGATATAAGTCTAGTCGAACGTAAAAACCGTTTAGATGGATTTGTAGGAAGAAAGGTTTAGATGGTCACTATGTGAAGCGTTCGATAAGAAAGAGTACCTGGTTTGAAAAAAGTCATTTGAGTATGATTAATATTTTGATTTTTACGTGGCTCTGGGTGTACGGAGCGAACTCGAAAATCATGGTAAGTGAATATTTGCTTTTGGTAGTGCTTAAATGTATAGCATGTTTTTCTTTTTTTATGTTATTTTACTGTTAGGTTTAAATGTGTTTAAATGTTTTATTGAGATTATGTATATTTTGTTTGCCTATATTGTAGAATTTGGAGCTCCTTTGACTTTTTAAGTGAAAATATATTGATGTGTACATGGACAAAGTAAAGGGAGTGCGCAATGCAAGTTTGTGCAATTCTGGGATTTTTTTAAAGTAAAATAGGTCGATGTGTACATGGATAAGTTAAAAGAGTGCGCAATGCATTTTTTGTGCAATTTGGGGATTTTTTTTTTAAGTGAAATAAGTCGATGTGTACATGAAACCGTTTGGGGCAATTGTTTTGTCTTGTTATTTTGGCTTTGTGTAGCGGCAATTTTTGGCACAAAAATCGGCGCTTTGCAAGCCAAAATAACGAGTCAAAGAATTGCACAAAATCGGTATTCATGTACTGCCCAAAATCGCCAAGTTTCGGCAAGGGGTACCCTAAACTATACTTTTACCTAAAATATTTCCATATTTAATGTAGTTCGACTGGCAGTTTTCTTTCTATAGACTAGCAATATGCAGTTTTTTTTTATTTTTCTCATATGTAAAGAAAATGTGACCAGTTTCCTTTAGTTAAGTTTCTATGGGGGATCTGCTATACAGCAACTGGCCTTCAAATGCTTTATCGTATTAAATAAACTAATCCAATCCAATTATTAATCCAACTATATTCACTTCCAAACTAATAACCCAATAATTCCAGTTTGGAAAAACATGTAAAACTTCCCCAGGGGAGGAAAAAAAACTTGAATGCTAAACTTTACTTCCTGTATAATCATAGTATATATTATATTACTTTTGCATGTTTCAACTTTCTATCACTTAAGATAATCATATCATTCCATTAGCAGTATATATTTACATAATCTTAGCGAAAACAATTATTAATGCAGAAATATCGGAACTCTTCCTGTACAGTTAGTTATAAATCAAAAAAATTGGTGCATAACAGTAGTCTGATTTATGCATAAGCATACTGCTATACAAATATCTCAAAATCATTTTATCTATCAGTAAATTTTAATTCCTTTAAGTTCACTTTGATTTCTAGTCACAGATTACATTTAAAGCTACTTTAGAAAGAAATAATTTATAAACTACATGTAAATGAAGGAATAAACATACTATTTCGTCCCATGTTTACAAGATTACACACATTCACTGAATTTTACCGGTCTACTGGCGTGTAATTCGCTGTCGTGTCCGTCACCGAAATTTCTAGTTGCCAAAAATTAATGAAGAAAGATTTCATTCTTGCAGCAACGGAACACATTTTTTCCTTTTTAATCGCTATTTTAGTTTTCTACCGAATTAAAATTCTAAGAGAAAATCTGAGTCGAAACTGTAGTTTGATATTTTTTGTTTCTTTACTTTATAAGAATCGTTTTTTGATCAAGGATAATCTTTCATAAAAATGGGAACGTGTAATGCAAGATTTAGATAATAATCTTGGCAATACTTTTGACTTCGTAGCAGACAAGTTATGAAGAATGGGGTAACGCGAACCGAAACGTATATGGGTGAACAGGAACGAATCTGAAAGTGAGGAAGGAAGTAAACTGTTTGTTTCTCGAAGGACGTTTTTATTAAAATATGAAAATGATGTTACTATTCTTGTCTTCCTAAGGTTTTTGGTTTCATTTTTAATTGAAATACTCATTTATTCATATGCGCAGTAAAAATGATCTAAATATAACTCTTATTTGAAACATATAATTTAATTCGCGAATTTCTTGCTGAGCGTTCTGTTAATGTGCGGATATTCTGTTTTTAAATTCCTTGTGAGATATATTCCTGAATAAGTCATTCAGCGTTTATAACACATATATGATTGTGAAAAAAAAAAAGGTATGTCTTCTTCCTGATGTGTATAAGAAATAATTGCATTTCCTTGTGTGTTAATGTATCTCTTGTGTTATGGATCTTATTTAGGCATTTTCATCATCTTGGATTATTTTAATGAACTTATGTTAACAATACAACGGTAATATGTCTTCTTCAGTAAGCATCTTTCTTATTAATCTGACAAATTGTTAATTAGTTTATCATTTTATGTCATGTATCTTTGAGAAAAGATACATTTTTTTTTTTATTTATCGATGCATATAATATAGCTAGATGAGAAATTAGGGATGTATTCTGAGATTATTTTACTTTTTAAATCCTCCTTGGATGCTTCAAGTGCTTTGTAAGTGTAGGGTGGCTATGAAATAAGTCTCCCTCAGAGGAGCGTTTCGTAACTTTTATCTGAGCATTAGAATCTCACCAAACTTTGCATATGCACTAATTATACCATTAGAAAAAGATTTATTTAAAGAAATTAGTTCTGAATATCAGTGTTAAGGGAATTTGTGGCACTGTACACAGAGGAATAGATTTTTTTTTTTTTTTTCCATTATATTCAAAGCAGATAAAATTAGTAGTTGGTCACTGAAGAGCAAAGAGTGTTGGATTCCTGTTTTCAAGAGGAAAAATTGATTAAATTCTATTGGGTAAGAAGATACTGCTCATTACAGTGGTCATTTTCATAAATAAGAATTTCCATTCAGTGCATGGTGTGTTCAAAAGAAAATGTAAATGATCAGGAAAATAAAAATATATTTATGAGTATCCCTTGGCAATTTTTGACGGTACGTGGATACCAAGTTTGTGCAATTCTTTGAATTGTTATTTTGGTTTGTGTAGTGTTGATTTTTGCGCCAAAAACCGCCACTACACAAAGCCAGATATCAAAACAAAGAATTGCACAAACTCGTTATCCATGTACACATCGACCTAGTTTCACTTTAACAAAATCAGAAAATTGCACGAACTTGGCCTTGTGCACTCCTTTTATCCATGTACACATCCACCTATTTTCACGTAAAAAAAGTCAGAGAATTGCACAAACTAGGCATTTTGCCCTCCTTTGACTTTACCCATGTACGCATTTGTCCATGTACGAACTATAGTCACTTAAAAAGTCAAAGGAACAGCCAACAAAAAAAGTATGTAATCTCTATAAACTATCATTTTAAATCAAACAATGAAATAACATAAGAAAGGAAATTCATCTTTGCACTACACAAAGGAAATATCCACTTACCTTATTTATAAATTAACATGTCTTCAGTCAAACAAAATTCCTTAACAGCATCGTAAAACTTCTTAAAATTATCTGAACTAGAATATGTATACTGGCATCATCACATAAATTAACAAAATAAGAGTCAAAAATATCCTTCGTAGCAGCATTCGACCATACGTGTTTTTGACGTTTGACCCTATGCATTTCCTTCCTACAAACAGGACACCTAATAATGGCTGCTAAGCAAACCTTCATTTACACACCAGTCAAGCAATGCTCTTTTCCCCTTTCTTTCCAAATTGTACAGAAACATCAAATTAATCTTAACACATTCAGCCATTTTACCGTCTAAACCACAAAACAAGCAATATACTTCCTAACCAACACACTCACCACAAGCCCTTACGAATTTAAAATCATGCAACAGATTATGTCATGGTAGGGTTTCCAAAACAACAACTCTGCGATAATACAAGGGATACCCTTTTCTATTCTAACTGATCAGAAAAATAGGGTAGGTAAGCTGATTTATTCTACATCAGCAAGAAACGGCTGAAAGAAATAAATTTAGTGAAAGAAACTAACTTTTGAACTTATGTCATATTTATATTATACAGTCAAAAATCTTTAATCCGGACTCGCAGAGCAGCGTGAAATTGATAAACAGATTTCGGAACGGTTAGATAAACAAAGGATATGCCTTTATCCATTTTTTGGAGCAATTCCACTTTTTGTTTGATGGACATCGAAACATACTTTCGTTTTCGTAGATCCTTTGGGAGCTCCAGCATCGGAAATTCTATTTGACATAATCGAAAGTTCAAGCTTACTTTTATAAAATTGCTCTTACAGTCTGCAAAAAATAATAAGCCGGATCCAATTCGAAGATTAAGGAACAACCCAATCATCAACATTAACTAAAATAGACACTTAGATAATTTTAGCTTATACCGTTATACATTAAACGCGCAGCGAAAACGTATTCTGCACTTGTGCACACGCAAATGCGCAGTCGTAAAGGTTTTAGGCACACGCTTAAACGCCTATGCATGCGTCAACGAGGTGCATGCGCAGAAAGTTTTTAGCTTTGAGGTCCGGATTATGGGTGTCCGAATTAACGACTTTTGACTGTATTTTATTCATATGTAGCAATGTCATATTACTAATTTAAATATTTTTATTTTCTGTATAATTTAACTAGCTTTATTTGAGTGTTTGCAATAACCTCTTTTATAGCATATTTTGTTATATGTATTTGTCAACTTACAATATAATCTGTTTTCCCATCTGTAAATTATGATAGGTTCTGAAACTTAATTTCAGGTCATATCAATGACAAAAGCAACATAATATAGAAAGAATAAAATTCACATAATTGGTAAAATCCTAGTGTATGATACATACGCCTTGGTGCAATTTTGAAAATTGTTGCCAACAAAATGACTCATTTATTGCTAATCATAAATAGCACTTTAACTGCTCATCATAATGTCACCAAAAGTTGCCAAATCTCATGTGTACTGTATACTAAGAGTAAACCTACGTAATCAATTGAAGTGAAGTGCACTATTGCCCATTTATTTGGTGCGTTATGTTTGGCGCTTTTTACAATAGTAAGAAGAATTGGATTTTTGTCAATTTCTTTTGACTTTTTAAGTGAAAATACATCGATGTGTACATGAGCAGAGTCAAGAAGTGCGCAATGCCAAATTTGTGCAATTCTCTGATTTTTTTAAAAGTGAAAATAGGTTGATGTGTACATGGATACCAAGTGTGTGCAATTCTTAAAAATGCGCCAAGCAGTGGGTGATTCTGGCACTTTCCCCATCAATTGTACTGTGTTACAAAAACGAAAATTTTTGCTATAGCATGCAGTAGTCTATTTTATAATTTTAAATAAGTAAATTGAAAAAAAAAAAATTTTTTTTTTTTAATCCTGCTGAATTTTGATCGTAACTACATTACTGTTCATGTGTAAAGACCACTAGTAAGTAGTTCGACCTGAGCTTGTTCCTGCTGCATGGGTACGTTTTTGGTTTTTCCCATATATGTTGTGGGTATATATTATAGTGGTGTAACTACAGCTTTTGGGCCCTTATGCCAAAATATTTTGGGTGTCTTCCCCATGATTTTGAGTACTTCAAGAAAAAGACTGAAAAAAAAATGAGGGTTCCAAACAGCTGATATTTTGAATAATAATGATATTTTATTCAGAATTAATTCTGGAATAATTATTTAGAAATATATTCATATGATTCCAAAAAAGGGGACTTTAGAATGGAGACCTGTAGGAGATTATCGTGTTAAATGCACAGATGATAAAAGATAAATATCCTATCTATGCTTAACTGATTTTACTGTCTGTTGCGTGGTACTAAAATGCATCTGTCACTTTTTAACGTTTTATGGACGAAGTCACCCGAGATTTAGAAGGTGTTTATGCTTTCGTCGATGACTTGCTCATAGCCTCTAAAGATTCTGAGGAACACTGCAGGAATTTGAAAGCTTTATTTTTAAAACTTTAGGAATACGGACTTTGCATAAATGTTTCAAAATGCACCTTTGGTCAAACATCTATTGATTTCTTAGGTTTTCACCTTAGTAAAAATGTTATTGAACCTCTTCCTGACAAAGTCAAATGCATTTTAGATTTCCCTCATCCTACCACCCTCATTCACTTTCGCTGATTTTTAGGCAAGTTTAACTTTTACAGATGTTTCATACCTTTGCATACCTATGTGCCGCCGATTTTTAGGCACATATTCTTTCTCCTTTATAATAAAATTGTTAGAAGGACATATCAATAAAAAGAAACCTTGTTCTCATGTTAAGGATTCATCCTCACCGTTAAATTGGAATGGAAATGCTGAACAAGCCTTTATTGCTGCCAAAAATGCCATTGCTCAGGCTATCCTTTTGAGACTTCATATTTCTGGAGCCTAATTAAAGCATCTGGGTAGATGCTTCGGACATCGCAATAGTTAGCACTCTTATTCAGATGTCTCAACAAACATATTAACCTATATCATTTTTTTCTATGAAACAGAACAAAAGTCAACAGAAATGGCTCGATGGAAAAGTCAATAGGGAATTGTTTTCAATTTATTCTGCAATTAAGAAATTCCGACACATGTTAGAGGGCAGAAATTTTCAAATATATGGATCAGAAACCGTTAATATGTGTGCTTTTAAGCAGAACCCTCACAAATGTTCACCTTGGCAATTACGCCATTTAGATTTTATTTCTCAGTATTCTTCTGATATTAGGCATGTGCAAGGTTCTAAAAATGTTGCTGATGCTCTTTCGAGAATCAAAATTGATTCCGTAGCAAAATCTCTATTTTGGGACTTTAAATAAAAAATTTTCCAAAGCTCGATGGCATGATCCAGAGATACAAAACCTTCTCAAAAACAATACATCGTCTTTGAAACTGGAATTCAAACCATGCCAATACTGTGATTGTAACATTCTTTGTGATATCTCTACTGATGTTCCTTGTCCATTTGTGCCAAACTCCTTTCGCAGACTTATCTTTAATTATCCGCATAAACTATCATATCCAGGAATTGCAGCTTATGAAACTGATTTGTTCTCGTTATGTTTGGCCCAATATGAAACGTCATATCAAAAATTGGGTAAAATCCTGTGATTCTTGCCAGCGATTGAAAATAACCAGACACATTAAAGCACCATTGGATACATTCTCTCTTCCTGATGCTCATTTTTCACAAATCCGTATGGATATTGTTGGCCCGTTACCACCATCAGAAGTACCTTTTGACTCTAATAAATAGATTTTCCAGATGACCTGAAGCCATACCTATGCCCCAATACGAAAACAGAAAATATTTGCAGAGCTATTTTCAACTCACAGATATCTCGCTTTTGTTGCCCTCGGTTATAACAACTGACCAAGGTTGTCAAATGAGATCCACAATGTTTGCAGAGTTTACTCACATTTTGGGAACAAACAGAATTGCAATGACAGCGTGTCATCCAGTGTCAAATGGCATTGTTGAACGATTTCACCAGCACTTAATCCTCTCAAGGATTGTGAGACCAATAACTGGATTGAAACACTTCCAGTTGTTCTTCTTGGTATCCAGACAGCCATTAAGGAGGATATACAAATACGTAGGTTGGGGCAAAAGTCATGGCAACTATTTTTTTTTCTTGAAGATATCAGTCAGGTTGGAAAGTGTGACATATACAGACGAAAGGACAAGGTCTTAACTACATGTGTTGACAATGAATAGCACTGAAATAATCGTAACACACGAATTTATTACGGTGTATACGGGCAATATAGCCTTCAACACCGTTCAAAAGAATATAAACAACCTACATAGTTTGACACAAAACCTGGGCCTAAAGCCTTTATATAGTCCCCTGCTACTTCCACCCAACTTTTCTGCCACGCAGCCTCCCATTTGCCGTACATGTGTGAATCCTCTTCTCTGTTGGCCATCAGCACTACCAATCCGCTCGTTTGCAACCGCCTACCACTTATTCTTGTCCTTATCTAATGATTCTTCACTCGCACGGTCGAGAGACGTGGGTATCCAATTCTTCCTCCCCCCGTCGGAGTAGCCCCGTCACACGCGGCTTTATGTGGTTGCATTGTCGGCAGAATTTTGCACTGGTCCACAAATCCGGACGTTTTCCTAACGCCACGCCGTACCTGTCGCACCAGGAAGTCCCCTGTAGTGCTGTCCAGTCACTGTTTTCTGCCTGAGGAACAAAGTGGCAAACAATGATACCCCTGACGTCATACATGACGATCACCATCCATTTGACTGGGGAAGGTTTCTGACACTAGCTGTGCAATATCCTGTGGGTGCTTTTCTCGATGCCACTCGCCCTCTCTAACTCCAGTAATGTCCATCATCTGTCTTCATCCAAGAGGTGCTCGATGACGGTGATCTGTTCATCTAAGAGGTGCCGAGTCGGTCCGCACACTCACCGGTCGTCCCGAATGTTGCTCATCACTTGTCGACACACATCCGTGCTGAAACTTTCCTACCCACCGTGCTACTGTATGATATGGCAGGGCATTATTCCCAAGGGCTTCTAATTCATTGTGGCATTCCATCGCATTTCTCCCTCGGAGAACGGCTGTTTTTATGTAAGCGTGCTGCTTAACATGGGTTTCTTCCCTCTCGCACCGCACTCACCGACTGATTTCAGAGCCCTCGCTATCACACAGCCATCTGCTGTTCTGCATACACACTATGCTTGCAGAACTTCCACACAAAACATATACGTTTTGTGATCCGTTCGCATATCTACAAGAAAAAAATAGTTGCCATGACTTTTGCCCCAACCCTCATATTTTGTGCAGAACTGGTGGTGTACGGCACAACTCTCAGGCTGCCGGTGATACATGAAGATATCATCTATAGTGACATCTTCACATTGTCAAGATAGGTATTATGTAAGTTCTAACCTAAAATCGTACACACGTGTATACTTATGTATCAATCGAGTAAAGCCACACCACTGTGCCAGCCATACTCAGGTCCACACAAAGTCCTTACCAGAATGGACAAAACTTTCACAATTGAAATAAACGTCGTTAAATTTACTGTGTTCCATACACTATGTCAAACCGGACTATTTGCTTTCAGACTCTGATTTACCTGAACTGAAACCAAAGACAGTTCAACAAAATAAATATAATCTAATGAACTCTTAAGACACGAGGAATCACAAGATCGGAAAGGCATGTGCACTTTCCAAAGAAACTTGCTTCTTACATTACAATTTTAAAAAATGTATGAAATTTGCTTTTTCACATATTTATTAATATTTTACTTTTATATGTGTGCGTTATTACCTAGTCATAATGTTGAATGGCATTTTGATTTTTCTAATTTTATATCCTAATTTTGTGTTAAGGAAAGGGAATGTCGACAGCACGGATCCTCTTAAACATTTCGTCAGCTGATGTTGTTCGTTTGAATTGCCATCCAAGGAACTAGGAGGAAACTCTATGATGGTAGTGATAAGGAGCGCGCCTTGCTTCCCCACGTGTGTGCCGAAAAATATGACAATCCTAGGTATAAGCACAGAGAGAAAAGTGAGACCGGCTGTTTGAGAAGTAGCATGCATATTTGAAGTTATATTTAAGATATTAAATAAAGATAAATTTTTTACTATGTAATACACTGAAACGCCGCTGAATTAGGGATAGCTAATCAATAATGAGTTGGGCCTCCTCTGGCCTTTATAATTTCTCCCAAACAAGGAAGCATAGATTTAATAAGTTTCTGAAAGCATTTTACAGGATTGGCTTGCAAACTTCAGATAGAGCTGTCTGTAATTTAGGAAGAGTCGCTACTGATGTGTGATGTGGTTTCAAACCTTTCTCTAAAACGTCCGAAAGATGCTCAGTAGAATTTAAGTCGGGGCTTTATAAGTAGCTAATTTATGACTGAGAAGTTAGAAGAATGCTCATCCAACCAGGCAGTAGCCAACCAGGAACTTTGAGAGGTTCATTTCGTTTTGCTTTGCTTTTTCCATGTGAAGGGAGAGGATGAATTGCCAGCAACTCTACGTACTGAATCATATTAAGGGAGGTTGGTACAAGTACCAAAGATCCCAAACACTGCCAAGAGAAAACATTCCAGACCATGATAAAGCCCTCATGGCCTTGTACAGTTCCAATATGCCATATAGCCTTGTACAGTTCCAATATGCTTCATGAGTCTGAAGCCATATTCTCAGCCTCCCATCAGTATTAATTTGTTAAAATTGAGACTCATCACTCCTTGCTACTTGTTTCAAGCCCACTAGAGTCTATTCTCTGTATTCTCCTTCCCAGGCAAGAAGTGCAGCTCATTGGCATGCATTCAGCAATGGTATTCTCATGGGAGTAAGGCTTCAAGCCCATATGGTGAAGCGAGCGTTGGATGATCCTTTTACTGACTGTACGAGTGTCGCTGTTATTCAGCTGAGTGGTAATTTGAGCTAATGTTTGGCATCTCACACCATGCTTGTTCTAGGTTAATTGTCCTTTGCAATTTGCCCGATGACTAGTTCTCTCCCCCCCCCCCGTGTATTCTCGGTATACTCTTGACACTGTCGACCTTGAAAATTCTAGCTCGCTGAGGTTTTGGAAATTGAATGGCCCATGCGTCGATGCGTACTATCTGTTCAAGATTGGAGTTGTCTAAATCAGAAGTTCTACCCATACTGGCAATTGAAACGACTGATTAACAACAACCATAGTACTTGCTGTATGTGCATTTACCACAACTTCATCACATGAGCACAGATGCTGCGCAGCACTAAATTTCCATAGCCATGTCTATCCCTAATTCAATGATACTTCAGTGTATGTCTACTGAAAGTTCTCGATGAATACAGTGAGAACATTTAATGTAATATGGGCAACTAGAATCCCATGGGATCTACAACGATTACACAGTTTAAAGGTGTATAGTGGGCAGAAAAGTTAGAGCAGTTTTTTAAAACACCAAAAATAGTAGTAACCAAATGATTTCTTGGAAGATTAACGATAACAGCTTATAAATGAAGAATAAAAGGTTTAACTAAGATAAATGAAGTTTTTTAATATAATTTACTGAATTACACTGGTTGCAATGAATAAAAAGTCGCAAAGGCCAAGAGTCGGTAGTAGTTGCTAAGGCCAAGAGAGAGAATAGGCCAGGTGTTATCACTTCTATAGATGAGTGTTATTTGCGATCTAGTGCACATCATAACAGGACTGCTACTTCATCTTGGCTTAGATCCATGCTTATTTCTATGGGCTTGCAGTAATGTCAGTTGGATTAAAAATCATTAGAAGTCTGTTCTCTTCACTAATGAGATCAGTTTAGCTTTGCAGTTTGATTCTCGATTCAATTACATATGGGATATCTCTGCAGGGGGCGTAGTGTTCTTGTATGGAGAGGAGCACCTTTGCACAGTGGCAGAGTAGATTGGTTGCATGCATGTTTCCAAATTTCTTTGCCATGTTTAAAGTGAAAGCTTTCCTTAGTAGAAAGCTGTTTCTCTTAGCAGATCTGAATAACACTTTTTTAATTAAACTCGGCTAGGTAGGATTCCAGATGATGACAAGCTGTACTACTGTGCTTTTTGTTTTACCATTTTACTGATCCCCACAAGTATTCTACTTTCTGAGCATGTGCTCCAGGCATTGAATTCACAAAATTTTTCATGTGGTTCATTGTAAAGGGACAGAGACCTGTGGATTTGTGTGTTCCCCATGAGGATTCTCGCATATCTGTTTGGTACTTAAACTAAGAAGCATTCATTGTCATTATAGCAAATCCATCGCTGCAGCACTATTCTCATACCAAGTAGCTTGTTGTTTTACAAAGAGGAATTCATCAATCTCCATACTTCGATCAGTACTTTTTATTTTCTTGCATCAGTGTCTCGACAGGAATTCCTAGTAGACGTCCTTCATGTAATTATCCCACTTCATAACTGCTGTTTTTCCCATATTTAATTATTCTCTCATATCTAATTGAACTGAGTTCTTTGCTTCAGCAATAAATAAATTGCAATGCACTGAGAAAAAATATTTTTGATCCACTAAATCAATTCAGAAGACGAAGCCCTTTCTTGTAGCTGCTGACATTGCATTGCCAGATGTTTTCTTTTCCAATACATAGTGCATATTATGGCCATATTTGCAAAAGCTCTTGTTTGCCAAAATACATTTCTTTTAAGACAAATCAATAGAATTCTTATCTGACTGATGCGGAGACTGAAAATAGTAAGCATGTTAAATATTTAATGCTCAAAAATGTTATGTTTTAAAAATGAAAATTTTTAGAAACTGAAGAAATTCAAACTGCAAATGCATGTGCAAATCAGTAATTTTTTGTTTCTTACCAAGACTGACAACGTATTGGACTAAGTACAAAAATGAGTCAGTTTCACATTCTCGTCAAGAAACAAAAGTACTTTAAAATAAACGAAAGTTGATCTAAAATAAAGGTATTGAATATGATTGCTTTATAATGTATGTTTCAATAAAAAAGTTATAATACTTGCACATTATTGCAACCACCTAATAAGAAATTTCCAGAATGTGCTTAACTCTGGCAACCACACACATAATAATTCATCAAGCAAACATGCACATGACAGATCTTCAGTTCTAATAACCAATATTGCCATTCTGGTATGCATTTTTTTTTTTAAATTTCAAACTCCAGCATTTATGGCGAACTCGTGATTATTTTTTGTCTTTAACTCAATTTTAAAATATGTGCTTGTGATATTTCCGTGCATCAGAAAAAATGCGGGTAAAAGTTCGGCAGGAATACAGTATTTTGCTGCAAAATTACTAAAGGAACATTACTTCGAATATCTTCTCAAGGCGATTGCCGCAGAATTTTCAGCAGAATGAAAGAAACAAAAGCTCTCATATAAAAGTTTATTGATTGTTTTTCAGAATAAATATGTAATTGAAGCACAAAATATGTATGTACGTAATACCTTTTTTTGCAACAAAAAGTTATTTTTGTCACCCCTTTAAAATTTCCCCCTAACTGCACCAAGGTGATTGCATCAAAGTACCAAAGTTTTAATGTAATGCTCGTTTAGTTCTATGTTGATTATTTGTTTTACTGCTTCATTTATTGGATATATTCTTTTCCTCAAAATCTGCTGATCCCCAATTATGAATTTTTTGTGCAAATCCCGAATTGTAAAAAGTTTTACAGATTTTTACTGTTTATCCTTGCCCTGTGAATTCCTTTTCCCACATAAAATTATTGCTCTCTCATAAATACTTGATGTATCAGGTTATAGTTAATATGTTTTGGTTAGATTGTTGTTTTGGTTTGGTTACCTTTTCACCACCTCACCCCTGAAAAGGTTTAAAGTTGGTGGTTCAGATAATTACGCCTTCCTCACCCTTTAAAAAACACCACTATCTTAATTGCTGTATTCATAATTAGATAATAAAAATAAACATTTTATAAGAAACAATTTTATTTGTCATAATTAATTTTGGGATTTTATTGGAGGGAATGAACATCTATGACAGATATTTACATTTTTACATCCAATGGATACTATTCAGCGAAATGGCAGCTAAATATAAAGCATATAAATCCACTTGTACTCAAGCACATGTGTGCTGTTTATATGCATGGGTCACATGTATACTGGAAATTATGCCAAGACACAGCAGTTCTACTGAATATTGAAACCAGAGGTCTGGAAGTACTAAAATTTATTTAAATTTTTGTCTGACCATATAAATTGCTTCTAATATATTTTCTAAATAAGTTAAAATAAGCCAGAGAACTAACTATAAAAGTAATATTAAACTGTACGTCTATAGTAAACTTTATATTTAGTTCTCATGAAATGTGCATAATCTCTATGTTTGAAATATATCCCTTTCATTCTGTTCAATACATTACCATATTCATGTCTTGTTTATGGACTTTTTTAATTAAGAACTCACCTTTTTATATTTGAATTATATGAATGAACAAGATTTAAAATAATTTAATCGCTTAGCTTCTAAACTGAAATTATTTTCATGATAATTTTTAAATATTTAATATATAGCATTTGACTAAAGACATTATTGTTGTTTTTTCTCAAATGATTTTCTGAGGATAATTCACATGAATCTTGAATTTTGGGATTATTCAAGAATTTTTTTTATAACTGTAAGCTAAAATTTTGATTACTTGTATTTCTTTCATTTAGTTATTTTTGAAACTATAAATGATTTAAAACAGTTGATTTTAACAGAGCAATGGCTTTCTCCCCCTATTAATAAGATATAGTAATAAATAGTGAGGTCTAATTTCAGGCTATCAAATGCAATTTTATCACATACTATTCATTCTGTGGTTTAAAGTAGATCTTTTGCATTGATTTTGAAAAAGTACTTATTTAAATAAAATTATTTCAAGTTTAGATATTTATATGGATTTGTTTAACTGAAGAGTTTATTTAATTAATAAATAATATTTTTCACCATTATTTGCCATAAAATTTGTTTATGCATCTTTAATTAATTAATTTTTTTTGTACCTTTAGCATTTATGGTAATTCGCCTAACTATATATACCAATGTTT